ACCACAAGACAGAAACTGACACGAACACTGAGCATCCAGGAACGTAATGTACTGGGACATCAGCACATCAATTCAAACACACTGTCAGTGTGTGGAGGAGGTTTGCGAACAGACCTTACACTTCACTCATGCAGGAAGAACAACCCCTATCTAGTACATAAAATTAATGCTAAAATACCTTCAATGATCTGAAGTGTTCAAAAACACTCCTGTCCTGACCCCTTCATCACTACAATGTGGCCATGATGTCAAGACAGTCCTCTTTAGGGACAAAAAGCTTAAGACATTAAATTATAAAGGAGAAGAAAAAAAAAAGCATTCATTTTCTCTAAATACAGACTACTGACAGTCTCAGAGAAAACCAAACCAGCAATTCACAACAACACAAGTCTGTCATGACTGATGATTTTACAACAATAAACACCAACAGTCTTTCTAAATGAAAATATTCCCACACGAAGACTGACATTGTGTGAGAACAGACGTGAAAAAACGGACAGACAGATATGTGAGAATCAGACAGACACATACAGTCAGACTGATATGCGAGTATCAGGGCCTGCTAAACACAGCTAACTAGCCGCCAGGCTAACGCTAGTGAGCTGACTGCAAGATCTTTTTATTATTTATTTATTACTTTAAAGAACAAATCTCTAGTGAACAATCTGGGGCACAAACCCCGATAAACAACCCCCCCGGACCTTTAACAAAGAACCACGAGAGTCAATGTGAGTGAAGTGGCAGGATTTGATCGGTTTGTTTGTTTATGTCATGTAGAATGTGTTTCATTCCTCCGTCGTTGTGCTCAATCACTCGTTCTCTCTCTCACACACTCACTTGGCCTGGGACGCGACCGCTGCGGGCTCATGTCGATGTTCAGGTCGATTCGTTTGCGCGCTTCTTTATTTTCCTGCTTGAGTTTCTCCTCGATTCGGGAGAGTCTCTGCTCCAGCGACGACATCTTGAAAACTTCAGCAGCACCATCGAGCGCCGCAACTCACTGCCCTCTAGCGGCGACTGAGGGAAACACAGCGCCTTCGCTGCCCTCTAGCGGCCAATGAAAGAAAAAAAAAAAAAGCATAATTAAGGGCGTGGCCACTTGAGTGACAGGTGGATTGCCGCTGCTGTCACCACCGTCGAGCTAGGTGGCCGTGGCTTCAGCAACCTGCTCCCGCCTCTTTGCCCATTTTCGATTATCCGGGAGTGACGCGCGGTGACGCGCTGCCAAGATGGCGACGGCCGCCTCCGCCCACTTTTAGGCTTCAAAAACCTCTTCAGGAACCTACGGGTGACGTCACGGACACTACGTCCATGTTTTTATAGTCTATGCTTAATATGTGACCGTGACCAATCCGTGTATCATTCGTTCATTCGTTTTTTGATTTAATATTGAAAGTAGAAAAACGAGAAAACGGCTGAAGTGATTTCTGTTAAATAAAATATCTCCTTTTGGAGTGGACTTTGAGCTTTGTAACTTTGCAGATCTTTTTTATGCTCAAACAGAAACATTACAGACTAACTAAAGTTGAAAAAGTGAAAGTCCCCCTTTAAAGGGACTTTGATAATACAAAGTAATGTTATAAAGTATTTACGACGCTGATGACCGTTAAAAAGCGTCATCACAGTCTTGTGAAAAGTCTCTATTAATGTGTTTTTTAATGTATGATTTATTTTGATGTATTCTATAGTATATACTATTGTTATTATATTTATTACTGTTCCTGATTTTTTTATTGTTTAGGCAATATTGTTTGTAAAACAGCGCCACTTGCCCCTAGCGGCCACTGTGGGTAACAACACTAACTAGCGAAGCAAGTTCTTGTTTTGACAGGAAAAAAGTGCCTTGTTTAATTCAGGTAAGTCTGTAAAAATGTATAGACAACACAACAATACACACACGTGGTCATCTCAACAACTGCTTTATAAATACAACGTTGATGAATTGTATAATGGTACAGGACATGCATTAGTCTGCAGTTTACCATTGGAGGGAAAAAAAAGAAGGAAAAGTTTTGTTGTTAAATGATACACAAGTCTTTCATCTACAAATATTTTACGTATGTGTTTTGCAATTTTACTACACTTTGTTCACAGTGTGTGCGAGTGTATGAGTAAAAAATTTTTTTTGCTTCATCCAATTATGTGTGTGTGTGTGTAATCAAATGCTTAAAAACTATTTATTCATCTGCTCCTTGCAAGTAACAGATGTCATGGTGTGCTGTTCGCACAAACTGTCTAATAAAAAACTGCACAAAATGATGTTTCAAAGGCATCAAAACAGCTCTGAGGTAATAAAGTGTGTGAAACCAGAACTAACACACAGCAGTCACTAGTCGCCATTCATTTGTGTCATGACTAAAATAAACAGATACCATTTTCTATTTAACAGATATCTTATTTTGTTAAAACATATATCTATTTAAAAGCATTTATAAAATTAGAGACAAAGCCTCTGCTATTTGAGGCCGTCGAGTCTTTAAACAAGAAGTGGTTTTATACCCTTTTGCTCAGATTCATCATATCATCCAACTACTGTTAAAAAAAATGTTCGCAGATGTACTTTCAGTGGCAAACAAAATCAATGATTGGACCTTGTGAAAATAATCAACAAACACATTCTTTCTGCTTTACTCCAGTACAATAACCACACGCAAAAAATCAAATATTTGAGATCTCAAAGACCTTGTTAGGTATGAATCAAAATAATCTGTCATTTTGTCACGACACTGTCTTGATGTACTCTAGTTTTACATATGCTGTTGTAAATGACAAATTCATTTTTCAGACAAGACAGTTCTCCCACATGAGCTACTGCGCTCTCGGCCTGAGAACACAAAAAGAAACGTGATTCAGAAAAACAGAGCCTCAAAATGTATTTAAAACAAAATGCAGCAATGAAGTGACAAAGTAATGCTGACATGTCTCCTAGCTGTCATGTTTAAAATGTAAAACACATTCTTTTTGTTTAATGGTTGTAGCCAATCAAGATAAAATTTTCTAGCCATTTGTTTCCCTCGCTGAAGTAAAAACACAAACAGTATGAACAAACACCAGGGCAGACAGGAACAATATTTTAAGGCATTTTTTTTTCAAACCAAATTTATATACAAGGTTTGTTTGTTTTTGTAAAAAATCATTAAGGTAACCATACTAAAAGTGCACTTAATGAATGGATACCAAGCTGTCTTCAAAAAGGACTGCTTTACTATATTTCAATATGCTTGATATTCACATGTAACATGTAAGAGATGAAGGGCTTGAAAATGTATGAGAAATACCCAGGATGAACAAGTCGAAAGAGGTTTTAACTCCTTAACCACTGAGAACTCCAAGAGCAAGTACACATTCATTAATGTTCAAGCCTAATTAAATAATTCTGCTTTCAGCGCAACTCTCTTTTTCCATCTAATGTCACAGTGTCAGCAGAAAAGCGTCTCTTAAACTAGTTCCTTAGGGAATGGCAATTATTCAGACAGCCCACATGAAAAAATACTATAGTAATTTATAGTAAATACTACTGTTTTTGAACCATATTATAGTAAAGTACTTGAATTAAGTTGTTGTGGTAATTCTATAGTTGCTGTGGTAATATAACAACTATAGTAATATAAACAAATTACTTAACCCAATACTGTACTAAGTTTTCTACAACTATAGGGTATATTATAATACAATACTCTTCAGTTTACTGTAGTAAAAACTAAAGTATACTACAGTATTTATTAGTTTATCAGTTCACTATAGTTAATACTACAGTATGCTGTAGCATTTATTAACAAAGTGTTAGAAATACTATAATATATACAGTATAATACACTTTACTATAGTATGGTTCAAAAACACTAGTATTTACTATAAATTACTATAGTATTTTTTCACGTGGGATCGTCCTGTTTGAATGGACATCATATGAGAAACGGAAGACTGAATGGAGGAAGATTTTGCAATTGTTATTAGTTCCTCGGTGGTCATCAAAGATAATTTTTCCTTAAATGTGAGAATGAACAGAAATGCATTTCCCAACATGCTCTTGGTCGTATCTTTTACAAAAGTTCACTGAGATGCTTCTGTGTGACCTTTATTGATTTGCTTCAAGTTTAAAAATTTACCTTCCCATTGCCTTTATTAAGACAAGGTGCATTTTTCAAAAGTAGAAATGACACTTGAAGACAAACCAAAAATTTCAACAAGTTTATCGGTGCACTCAATCATTTTTTTCTTTATTTAAAAAAAAAAAAAAGTTTTAGCCCTAAAGAAATAAATAGTACTTCTAAATAGAGTTTAAAAGTATGAGATGAAGACTCTATTCATATCAGTAGCCTGTATTACTCTACATGAAGAGGGCCCCCTGATGGGGCCGCCATTTTGAGATCACATGACCAGGCGAATTCTACTCACTCGTTTCAGTAACACACCTGTTATTGGACACTTTCACTAGTTGAATAAATGAGTCATGAGGGCCTTTCGCACCGCTTTAGTTCCAGAACTAAATGTACAGTACTAAAGTACTGGGACGATTTTGCGCGAACTATTTCCCAGTACCATTTAAAGGGTTGCATTCGCACCGACAGTGTGTACTAAGAAGTGACGTAAGCCGGTCGACAGCGACGTCATTTGTGCGCGGCGTTCAACAACGGAAACAAAGAAGAACAACGTTAACATAATAACGATGGAGGACGTTTTGTTCCTTCGAATTCCAACTGGATTTCCTCCGTTGCGTAAATGTTCAAAAGTGCCTGCACTTCAGCGTCCGTCCATCTATCGCTGTTCTCCATACTTGCGAAATAAGTTGACACAATGCTTACAGTATGTTTACACGGCGTTTTAAATCATGGCGGGTGAGGGCATTTTCATACGCGTTTGGCCAATCAATGTCACGTCACGATTACTACCAGTTGTGCTGGTTAGACCCTGCTCCGGAGTAGGAGCTAATTTGGTTCTCGAAAAAGGCAGTCCGGTACTAAAATCGCACCCAGTTCCGGCGGTGCGAAAACGCCAAAAAGTGGGTAGTTTGTAATTAGTTCTGGTACTATGAAAAGGTTCCCGCGGTGCGAAAGGCCCTATGGCTGACTGTGAATAATGCTTTTCTACGATTGCATCAGTAACTCACCACTTTAGTGTGATGCTTCATCCAAACCTCTAGGTGTCAGTCTGAGTTGAAGCGCAAAAAAATGATCAAATGCACTTTTAAACCTGCTGGCAAGAAACAAGCTTTCTGTTGTTAATCCGATTCGAACGTTTTTTTGGCCTCCTCTTTCTTCCATCACAGTGTTCACAGTTCCAGCACATTCATAATTCACGCGAAACACTCAGATTGGCCGCCCTCGTCCTCGTCGTCGTTGAGTCATGGAGCAGAAAGGTCTCTCTACAGCACTATCACAGTGAAGACGCTCTCAGCAGAGGTCAGAGACATAGTCAAAATCATGGAAGCTGTCCTGATCCTTGCGCGAGAGCACCCGGGGTTCACGAGGCGGCGTGAGAGCCAGCGCTTCTGTTGTGAATTCCTCATCGAAGTTGCTGACGTCTTCTTTGTTTCCGATAGTCGGAAGGAAGGGAGGAGGGAGTTTACGGAGGAGAAGAGCCTCCCAGTCCATATTCTGAAAAGTGAAAGTACATGTATGAGCATGTCATTTATTTAGTTATGTTAGAATTTATGCCATCATTCCACATGCAAAGCATAAATGCAAATGCAACACTAAAAAAATAAATAAATAAGAGGGATGCACAGATTTTGAAATTAAAACTAAAAATTTAAATGATAACTGATAAAAAAAATTAATGGCTGATATTAAAATTCTGTTATAAATAAAAAAAAAATAAAATTAAAAAAAAAACATTTAAATATTACAAATGAATACAGGATTCACAACATTGTTTAGTAGGTGTTCCTAAACTTTTCTGTCAGCCGAACCCCTTGGATATAAATATTAAATATAAATAATAAATATTTCAACAATTTAATGACACATTTGCATGCTCACAGTTCTCTGATATCATTAATAATAATAATTATACTTATTAGAAGTCGTCGTTTTTTTAATTTTATTTATAAAAATAAAGACAGAAAGATATTCCTGTTGTAAAATGCAATTGTACTGTAAAATAAAGAAAAAAATATCTTATTTGACTCTGAAACACCCACCACATCAGTTATTTAATTAAAGTGCAGCTTTTAATTTCATAATTACACTAAAATATATCACGAATGCAGTCCCATTTATTTATTTATTTTAAATTTTATATTTGATATAGAATTAATAATTAGCTTTTCATCGACTGACGAACTCCCAAAGATCCATGAACCCCCATTTGGGACCCTCATCAGATACTTTTCGAAAAAGATATTTGTTGAAGACTGCATTTTAAATGATTAGTGTTTCACATAAAATTACATATTATTAGTGTTTATTAAAGTATAGATATCTCTTACCCTGAAGAAAGGCTGTTTCTTTACATCCTCTGCATCTTTCTCACTGGAACCCAGTCGTCTTTCTGGATTTCTCCTTAGTAACTGTTTAAAATAATATGTAAAATTTCAATTTATCCACACTTAATTTTTACATAAAATCATATGCCACAAATTGTGTGGGAAAAATATTTAGCAGGACATGTCTGCTGCACTAGCTGAATAAAGGGAATGTAGATAGTCTCAAAAATTCAGTTTGAGATATTTACCCTCCTCAAGATGCCAATGGCCTCTGAGGAAAGGAACCGTGGATAACGAACTTCATCATTCACTATGCTGTCAAAAACCTCCTCTTCATCATCACCTGGAAACGGAGACTAGAAAGACAGTTTTAGATAGGACAGATGCCAAAACTGTAAGAACGTTTCAAACATTTCAAATGAAAATGCTCAAATTTCTCACCTCTCCCACCAACATCTCGTATATAAGCACTCCGAGTCCCCACCAGTCCACGGCCCGCGTGTACGACGTGTCTGTTAGAACCTCTGGAGCCAGAAACTCTGGAGTCCCACAGAACGTACTGGTACGGTCCCCAAAACCCATACCTGAGAAAGAGACAAAAACAGGTCTGACAAATGCTCCTGACTATATCAAGCACAATCAAAAGTAAGTGAAAGAGAGAGAAAAGGAAGAGTCATTACCTTCTTTACACAATCCAAAGTCGGCGATCTTCACGTAACCCTCTGTGTCAAGCAGCAAGTTGTCCAATTTAAGATCTCTGGTTGGAAAACACAAAAATATACGCAATATGTATTTATAAACATCTAGGGCTGCCCCCTAATAGTTGACTAATCGTTAGTCGACTAGAAGAGGCTTGGTCGACCAAAATTTTATTAGTCGCAGAAAAAATAAAAAAATATAAAAATCCACAGGCAAAGTCACACAGATCGTTAATGGCTGGTCTATGTGTAATACAGTACATCGGGCAGGACATCCAAACGCTCGCCTATCATTCATCGTCCTCAAATAAGACTTATCATCTGAAATATGTTAGTAGCAGCAACTTTACATGGCCTCTCAATCTAATGTTAACCTAGAGAAATATGCGCTGTTCAAGTGTCTGTGTGGAGTGTGAAAGCTGAATAGTAGCTCACTGCAGGAAAGATGGAGGCGCCGGTGCGGTCACTTGCTCTTAAAATACTCCCTCATTTTTGCTTATACAGATAAGAGTAATACATCTTTCAAATCTGTAAAGACTCTATGTTTATTTGTGTGCACTCACAATAACAACAAATTGGGCTTTTGTAAAATAATGACAGCAAACAGGATGCTCTTTCTGCTGTCTCGGTCTCCGTGAACGTGAGCGCAAAACTCTTTGTATATATTTGACTTTCAGACATTAAAAATATATCTATAGAGAGTGAAATGTACTGTTTTTCACTGACACATTCATAATCATTACTTCTTCCGGTGCACTGTGGAAAGCTTTATGTGTGCGCTTGAGCGCATATTAGGCTACGTAGGCAATTAAAGGCACACTATAATGATTTAAATGGTTTATTAATAAATGTGTGATTAGTCGACTAATGCTTAAAATTAATGACTACTAGTCGACCAGACAAATCTTTAGTCGAGGGCAGCCCTAAAAACATCTTTAGACAAAGCCAGAACGTGTGCACACAATTGTTTGCATACTCACCGGTACACAATCTTGTTGTCATGTAAAAATTGAAGCCCTAAAACTACACAAGCAGCATAGAACCTGAAACACACACAAACACAAATTAAAATAGTCAACAAAAAAGTGGGACTTTTCAATTCTTTATCTTCTATCCCTAAACCTAAATATCACACATCAAATTCTTTAAAGTAATTAATAAACAAAATGTTTTAAGCTCTTTGTCCCCGCAATATACACTACCGTTCAAACGTTTATGGTCAGTAAGAGTTTTTTTTTAAATTAGTACTATTTTTTTTTTGCATTTTTTTCTGATGGATCAAAAGTGACAGACACTTAAAATGTTACAAAATAATTATATTTCAAATAAATTAACTTTCTACTCATCAAGGAATTCTACATTTTAAAAAATGTATCATGGTTTCCACAAAAATATTAAGCATCAATATATGAATATTGGTATTGTATATTAATATATTATAAAATATAAAAAATATTAAGCATCAAAACCGTTTTAAGGAGACAAAGTGTAGCAAAACCTGACAAAACGGTTTACATACACAGCCCGTGGCTCGGTGAAGACGTCTGCGTGTATGTGCATCATTAGATCGCCACCTGCCGTGTACTCCATGACAAAACACACATGTTCTGGGGTCTGGAAACACGCAAACAGGTTCACGAGGAAGGGGTGCTGCGCACTGTTAACCGTCTCGAAAATGCGCTTCTCACACATCAAACTGAGGGAAAAACAGAGAGAAACAAGAAAAAATTCAAACATTTCATGAAAATAGAATAAAAACTATGTAAGGCCTCTGCGAATATCGCACAAATGAACGATTGAATCTCCGCATTCCACCGGAAAAACTAAAGACTCTCCTCCCCAGCTATCTGCGGTCGTAAAGAAGATCAATGATCAACAGGGCACCTAATTGTCTGGACCTGCTTCCGGTCAAGGCCTGGTCCTTATCCCTTAGGGGGATCTGAACTGCTTAAACCCTAACTATCACCAGGAGAGAAGAAATTCCCTCTGTCTGAAGACCCGTCGAGGACCAGATGTGCAGTGTAACATTGACCGGCTTCAGCATAAATAAACCAGCTAATAAACAACAGAACAAAGAACATGGTATCTGGAAATGTTCCAGCGACAGACTCGCCCGGACCCCATGACCGTTTAACGCATAAATTGATAATCCGTAAATTCGTGTTTCATTTATAAAGAATCATTGTCTGGTGTCGTATAATTTTAAAGTCAAACCTTGCCAAGATCACGTTACCTCGCTAGGAGCTTACAAATTATCATAATTGTATTGACCTGTGGCCAAGGAAAATACACATAGTCAGATTGTTAAGATACACGGACATTAACGTCTCGCTGGACGACCGTTGATAAGGTGTAAACTATTAAAATTTGAAATCAGTTCTAATCAGGTTGACTTCGAATTTTCAGATTCGAGTCCTCTCAAAACCTGAATGAATTAATAATAATTAATTCCCTAAGAAAAGTAATCAGACATTACAACAACATAAAGTTATTTTGTTTACCTTTCTACTTCATCTCTGGCCACAATGTCTCCTTTCTTCAGGGCTTTAATGGCGTACATATTGCCTGACTTCTTGTATTCTGCCAACAGCACCTGACAGACAGAGTATTTCAGATTTAAAGCTAGGAAGAAAAAAGTTGTAGGATCAAAGAAATGATTGAAGGCTAGGGAGGATGAAGACTACCTTTCCAAAATGCCCTCTGCCAAGAACAGCTATTAGTCGGAAATCCTGCAGGCTCAAAGGAGTCTTCTTCTGTTTACTGCACACACACAAACACACACCTACTTAGAAAGCACTATAAAGACTCAATACCTGGGAATCTTCATATCGTGTGTTTGAGTCTACCTGCTCAGTGAATGTGTTCTGATTTGGCGTTCAGGTGTGGTGAGGTCCGGAGCAGAGACGGGTTCAGTGGCCGGCTGCCGTTCCTGTGTCAAGAAGCAGAGAGAGGGGAGGAGTTACAGATGGGCGGGGTTAAAGAGCAAGAGGAGGAGTTATAGAGAGTCTCTCACTGGAGCGCTTGTATCCGGCACATCTCGACGAATGTCCACCTTCATCGGTGAGTCATAGTCTAAACTCAACTTCTCCACCGATATCTCCCTGTAACACAAACATTTGCTGATTTAAAGGATAAATAAAAGCAAAAATGAAAATGTACAATATCCTGGTTATTCTTTCCAATATAATAAAAGTAAAATAAAAGTAAATATTTTAAAACAATAATTCACACTGTTGCTTTTATGGAACCCATTCAATTTGACTATACAACAACAACAACAACAATAATAAATTATTATTATTATTATCACCCTTATTATGTATTTTATTGTATTAAATTATATAAATTACACAAACCAATAAAGAAATATTACTATAGTAATAAAACTTTTGTAAGTACTGTAAAATAAAAAGAAGTATTTAATTATTATTATTATTGTTGTTGTTGTTTTACAGAACAACAGTAAAATTACAATAGCAATATTCATCTTAAAAGCATTTATTTAGAATTGGACAAATTTGTGAAGACTGTAAATGCTCAGCGGATGATCCTTTTAATTATTTTTACATATCTGTGAATACACATGTACTTTGTCTAAATAATAATAATTATTATTATTATCACCCTCATTATTTATTTTATTTTATTCAATTATATAAATTAAACAAACCAATAAATAAATATTACCATAGTATTAAAACTTTGTAAGTACTGTAAAATAAAAAGGAGTACTTAATTATTATTATTATTATTATTTTACAGAACAACGGTAAAATTACAATACTAATATTCATCTTAAAAGCATTTCTTTTGGTGAATTGGACAAATTTGGGAAGATTGTACGTGCTCAGCAGATGATCCTTTTAATTATTTTTCCATATCTATGAATACACATGTACAATGTCTGTATTTGTGTGTGATTTACCCTGTCTGTACTGTGTGTGCGTGAGGGCTGTAGGTTCCTGTGTTGTTGACGGTTGGTATGGCATTCCTCAGTAACCTCACCCATGTGCTGATATCAACGTTCATCTGCCGAGCTCGCAAGAACGCTTTTCCTGCGTGTGACCACAAACATACACACTGTTTGACCTCTGACCACTAGATGGAGCTCAACACCATTCAAGTCGCATGTCATAAATTGAAGTCAACATGAACTGACATTCAGCTCAATTTTAAGTGCATTTGGATAAACGAATCAATAGATTCTTGCATTTATTGTAAATAGAGAAAACATTTTTCTGTCTCTTACCCTGTTGTTTGGAGAAAACGTTCTTCTGCCGTTTTAGCCGTGGAACCCTCTCGATCACGGGGTTAAAGAAGGTAACCTGAGGCAGCCAGATGGTACACATATGTCACCCACATATTTCAATGCTGGCCAGTTTAGTACATCTCTTTGGTTTGGGTGCATTTATAAAGTAAACTAAACAAAGCACTGAGGCAGAATCTTTTTGGCGGTGGGATAAAACATATTTTTGAGTGCACATGTGTGTGTACCTCTGCCAACAGCAGCCCTTGTGGCTCTAGCTCTAGTTGTACTCTGTGTTTCTGGTTGTCCAGGAAATCCTCCAACTTGAGAAATTTCAGTGCACACAGAGATCGGTAATCTCTCCAGTACACTGCGATCTCCATCTCTCTGGACTGCACACATAAAGACACAATGATCAATATCAGTATCAGAGACAATGTTTGTTTGGTATTACATTTACTTTTATTTATACATTTGGCAGATGTTTGCACTGCATTGAAGTTATACATTTACATTTTATCAGTTCTTCAATATTATTTGCAATATATATTATTATAGTATTTATTCATATTTTAAAATAGCTTTTGATTTTATATTTTTCATTTTCATTTTAGTTTACGTTTTAGTAATTTTGTTATGTGCTTTTGTCATTATTATTATTAGTCTCTCTCTCTCTCTCTCTCTATATATATATATATATACTGTCAAACGATTAATCGCATCCAAAATAAGTTTTTGTTTACATAATATATGTGTGTGTACTCTGTATATTTATTATGTATATATAAAGACACACACAAACAGCGTATATTTTTTAAATATTTACATGTATTTACATATATATATATATATATTTATATTCATATAAATAATATCATATATAAATATATTTAATATATAAAAGTAACATATTTTTCTTAAATATATACATGCATGTGTGTGTATTTATATATACATAATAAATATACACAGTACACACACATATATTATGTAAACAAAATTTTTTATTTTACTGTATATATATATATATATATATATATGTATGTGTGTATTTGTTTAGCTTTATTTATTTATTTACATGTTTCATTTTATTTTGTGTAAGAGTTATTTGAGATGTTCCAGCAGTAAAGTCACTGATGTTACACAGCCAATGGATTTTGATTTTGTAATTATAATTACAGCCTATTGCCTGGAGCTTTAATTAATGAAACAGACACTGAACTTCTAATCTGTGTAAATCTACTATTAACTATTAACTCACTCGCTCCAGCTCTATGGTGAAGGTCTGATCCCAGCCCTGTTCTCCAACCATCTTCCATGCCGTTTGACCCACGACTGTGTTATCCAGCTTCAGTACTGCGCTCACCTCCGCTGCGCACACACACACACACATAGACATGAATACAAATGTATCTTTTAACTGAGATCAAATGAAGGTCAATATTTCCTGATTTCTCATACACTCTCTAAATTATTTTTGTGTCAGTAAGTTTGTTGAATACGTCAACCAATCACTCGCCAGCATGATAATGCAACACCCCATGTGTTATAAGCTCAGATGCACTACATCCTGTTCTGTTCAATGCAAAGCTGTCTTCGCACATGACCGACACAACAGACTGAGTTATATCAAAACTCACACATCACCAAGGACTAATCACACTATGAATGTTACATCCTCCAAACACACACACGCACTCACAGGAGAGCTCGTCTGTTTTGGGGGGTGTTTTTCCGCTAACACTGCCACTGCGACTGTACAGGCCTTTTCCACTCCGCATAAAGGACCGTCCTTCTCCCGGACTGTAACATGGCAATACTAACTGACTGCCGCGGGAACGTCCGGGAACCACCTCTAGCACACCCATACAGCCCAGCAGTGTGACCTGAAGAGTGCCTACACACAGACACACACAAATAAAAACAGGAAAATAAGTACCTGATGACTTCTATTAAACTAAACAAAATAAACAGGCATTTATCGGTGTAACAGATGTTTTTGAATACCAGTGAGGGGAGAGGGTTTGGAGAGTGTGCTGTACTGGTTGTGCACGTAGGGGGCGCCGTGTCGAGAGCTGAACGCTGGTGATGAGGCTAACACCAGCTCCTCTTTGATAACAGATGCTTTGGGATGATCCTCAGGAAGTTCTGCTAACCGCCGATCTAGTGAATCTCTCAGCAGATCCAACCTCTGAGACGACTCGCTCAGACGACACTGAGCCTGAAGAAGACGACCGAGGAAGACATGAGGGATGACGTATTAAAAGAGTGCAGGGGCATCAAAAGTACCAGTGCTTTGGTATATAGTTGATACTACAATAATGAGTATTACTTACTGACTTACTGTATTAGACTTAACTAGATAAAAAAGTTTGTCAAGACAAACTTTAGGTTGGCTTGAGAAAGCCTAGCCTGAAAGTTTAAAGCAGTTGTAAAAGCCTGACGTATGAAAATGTAGATAGATGTTGATAACATGTTTCTAGCATGATTAGCATGTTTTTAGCATGATTAGCCTGTTACTAGCATATTTCTCAAGCCAACCTAATTATTGACTTAACTGGAAAAGCAGTGTTTACTTAATTGAGATGTAATTGAAAGCTATTGTTTACATATAATATAATGATAAAATGGGGTCTGTAAGATTTGTAATGTTTTTAAAGAATTTATTCATCTTTTATTTAATTATATAGAATTTAGAATGTATTAGAATATAATTAGAATTGATTTGATATACACAAACAGAGAAATTCTGGATCCTTCAGAAATCATTCTAATATGCTGATTTGCTCAAGAAATGATGCTTATTATTATTATTATCAATAGTAAAATCAGTTTTGCTGTTTAATATTTTTGTGGAAGAAGTGATAAATTTTTTCAGGATTCTTTGATAAATAGAACATTCAGAAGAACAGTATTTATTTGAAACAGAATTTACTGTCTTTACTGTCACTTTTGATCAATTTAATGCATCCTTGCTGGATAAAAGTATTTCTAAGGTCTTAAAAAATATATAATATAATATAATAATACTGTATAATGGGGTCTGTAAGATTTTTTAATGCTTTTAAAGTATTTATTAATATTTAATTATATAGAATTTATTAAGCATTTAATTGATATGCAAAAAAAGAGAAAAATGGCAATATTGTGGAAAAATTGTATATATTTTATAATATAATTTATTCATGTGATGACAAAGCTGAATTTTCAGCATCATTATTCCAGTCTTCAGTGTGACATGATCCTTCAGAAATCATTTTAATATGCTGATTTGCTGAAGAAATATTGCTTAATATTATCAATAGTAAAATTCGGTTAAAATTTTGTGGAAACTGTGATACATTTTTCAGGATTCTTTAATGAATAGAACATTCAGAATTTATTTGAAACTGAAATGTTTTCTAACAATGTAAGTCTTTACTGTCACTTTTGATCAACTGAATGCATCCTTGCTCGATAAAAGTATGAATTTATTAAAAAAAAAAAAAAAAAACTTATTGTCCCCAAACGATACGAGTATAATAAACGATATTAGTATAATACCTCTGACATGGCCTTTTTGTCCTGTACTTTACTGGCTCCAAGAAGTCTAAGGACATTTTTTGCTCCCTCAGCGACGGCGTGCTCTACACGGTAATGGTGTCTGAGCTCCTCAATCCGTAGCTCCATACCACATGGGTCAGGCTTTCCTGAAGAGACACACACAAACAGACATATCAGGCTATCAATATCACTCCCACAGTGAATTACACAAGCTATTAGCCTGCATGGGTCAGAGCCATTTCAAACCTCATAATTAAACAGCAAGGAAGAATATCATTTCAAGATGAATCCACAAAATACAGAATTCAGATGGCAAACTGTACCACCTTTTGAAAAGAAAAGAAAATGTATATATAAAGTACAAAAACTGCAAGCTGTTTAAAATGTTTTAGATAAAGACAAGCATCTCACACTGCAGGACATTGCTGTCATTGCTTGAAATGTCAACTACCATTAACCATAATGAAATTGAACTGAATGTGAACCCCATACAGACATCAAGTCTAAGATACAATAAATGGTACATGAGGTCATGTGCATCTATCAGACTTTAAAGGGTTTAAAGATCAGGACAGTGAGTTTCCATATAGTAATTACTACACTTATGCAAACTGGGAGAGATGATTGTAGATCAGTCTAACATGCTGCCAGCTACAGACTTTTAGAAATAAGAGGATTATGAAGGATTATAAACTGAAAGATGAAGATGCTGTGGCGTTATATTATTCTGTCATACCATCAAAAGCATTGACATGCTGTTCCGGGTTTTATATAAACATTTATTTTCATCTGTTTTGGTTGTCTGAAATACAAGCAGTTCACAGTATTCCAGTCAATAAACGAAAAGATCCTGAGTGCAGGGAATATTGTGAGTGTTTAAAATCCTTCCCTCAATGTCCTAACATAATTGAGACTGCAGGCTGTTTACTATTTCCAGATTTTCATATATTTTTAATCTAGCTGAGATTAGAAGAGCGTGTGCTTGTGTGTGAGCTAGTGCCTGTGCTAGGACTGTCCCAGGAAAATCATTAATTGGTACAGCACAATTTTGTCCCCATGAGCTGCTTCAAATGAAGACTTGGGGGGCAAAAACATGACAAAAGACAGAGTTGGAGGGGAAATATCACTTGAATGAGTGGACCTACAAAGAGGAATAATGAGAGAGAAAAAACATGAGAAGTATTGAAGGATCGACTGCAGAGGTTTTTGTGTCCTAATAAGGCATGAAGCCGAATGCAGTGACATAATTTCAGAAACACTCTCGGGGAGTGCGTGTGTGTACATGTACACATTGAAGGTGTGTGTGTGTGTGTGTGTGTTTTATACAGGAGTATTAAAGAATGTGTGTTAACTAAAGCTGCCTGTAACAGTTTTGCTTCATATGATATGATACGGTCTCTGGTCTATCTGAATTATGATATATTAAGCTTTATACAACAGTTCGTTCTGGTTCTCAAATCTGATTGGTTGAGAACCGTGAGATATTGTACTGGGCTGCGTTCAGCCCCGACAAAAACGGTGCAAAACGTTTTTTAAACGGAAACGGTGGTGCGTTGAACACCCTGTTCTGATGACGCAAGAGTTGCAACTATGGCAGCTGAGAAGGCCATTCTTTGTGTTCTTTTTGAAGAATTTTCGGAGCCTGATGAAATCGGTATAAATACGTGTTTAATACTGCAAAATACGCTCGATGGTACAGTCATTGCCCTTGCCGTCCAGAATAAAAGAGAACATCCCAATCAAATGGGATGGGATTTGTGGAAACTGTGGTTCCTAATTATTGTGATCCAACATTTGCCTCGCATTTCAGGATGAAAAGACAAACATTTCAGGTGAAGGATAATCCACTTCTTACCTCCAAGACTGTGTTATGATCTATATGACCTTATTATTTTTATTGTGAGTATTAGGCTTATCATTATTGCTGATCACTGTTGTTGTGCTATGATATTGTAATATTTACCATTATATAATCAGAGCAGTATAGAAAAGTTTATGAAAGTGTCACTCCATAATACAATAGCAAAATATATAAATATGTATAGTATTTTTATGTTACATTAATCAGTGTCTAGCACACCTTCCTAAGGAAAGGATATGGATCAGAACACATTGCAATTACTAAATTATATTTAGACAGACGTTATTATAGAAGTCTGTTATTATAGAAGTTCCAGATCTATACTTGTGCCCTTATTATTTCAGTTATTTTGCCTTTAATGTAAATAAACATGTGCAAACAATATACTTGCTCTTGTGAATTTATTTGGATGTTAATTACATTGTGCGAGCTGTCTCTTTAATAAACGCCTGGTTTATATACATGTTGCTGCTGACTGGGCTGACATGTTTGACACACCCACCAAACAAGAGAAAACGCATCTCAAACCCCGTTGCACACCGTTTCCAGGAAACATGTCGTTCAAACCGGAAACCGTAGCAAAACGGTGCACACCGGTTTGAGCTTGAACTTGCCCCAGATCACTGTGATTAGCTGTTCTGTCATAAGCGACGAACGCGGCCTGCGGCCTCGTGCCTCTGGCCTAATCACAGCCATGCTGATATAGAGCCGGTATCGCTCTCGTACTCAAGTGATATTACTCATATAATTACTGCGAAAGCGTGTAAAGCTTAGGTGTGTTTGTGCTCTGTTTATTATCATAATGCAAGAGAATTTTAAATTTTACATCAGTCATCAGTTACTTGACCCTGTGTTTGAGTCAGTGTGTTTGATTCATTCCAAGCCAAACGGGGTCATAACACACACATTTATTGATCTGTATGACCTGCGCTCACTGCTTATGTGTGTTTGTGTGTGTGTGTGCATGCTGTTCTCCAGACTGCATAAACACTGCACACTCCACACCCTGAAAACACACACCACTCGTCTTCTGGGATTCAGGTGGTTATTGATCTGTTTAGTTCTTTGCTCATCTATGAAATCAGACTCTAAAAGCAACAATGCAGTAGCACACACACACACTCAGCCATACCCTGTATATCATCTTTGTGTTCGTAGGCCTGCACTGCTTTCCGGATCTGCATGCGAATGATGTCAATCTTTGTCTTGCTGTCCTGTAGCATCTGCTGAGCTGTCTGCAACATCTTCTTATCCTAAAAACCCACACAAACACACCATTGTAGTTAGTCAACAGTGCCTAAACATCTTTTGACAGACTGGCTCCGTTCCGAAATCTAGCGAGCTGCCTTGCTGCCTACATAAACTGCATTGGAGTATACAATACCCTAATACTCAAAAACAGCACCCACAAATATTAGATAAAATACTTCATTTGTAATCACATTGAACTACTTTTACTTTTACTTTGAGTATCGAATGACATTTTTTTAAAATAACGACTTTCTTGCCTCATCTAGCATCTTCCCAAAACACCAAAGTGCATTCTGGGATTGCCTTCACCATGAATATGCGATGCTGCCTTTGATTTTGGAAGCAGCATAATTGAGTTGACTGCATTTACAGTGAGCACACGAATGATGCCTCTGCAGGTACACTACTGTTCAAAAGTATGGGGTCAGTAAGCTTTGTTTTTAAAGAAATTAATACTTTCATTCAGCAAGGATGCATTAAACTGGCAGTAAAGACTTGCATTGTTATAAACAAATCCTATGTCTAATAAATGCTTTTCTTTTGAACTTCATATTTATCAAAGCCTCCTGAATAAAAATTAGGGATGCACCGATACCGGTATCGGGCCCGATACTGAGCTCCTGTACTCGTACTTGTACTTGTTAAAATGCCCCGATACCAAACGCCGATACCACACAGCATGCGATAAGTGCCGTATTCTGACACAGTTTAACTCTGAGTTCTTGTCATATTTTATTACCATTTTGTAAACTATAGCGAATAAACTGTGATAATGTGAGAAAAGTTGAAGGTGTCTGAATAAATTTAGGTTTGACTGTATCTATCTGATAAATGAAGTTAACCAACTAACATTATACATACTCTTTTTGTTTCTGTAGCCAATATTTAAAAAAAATGACAAATGCAAAAAAATATCGGTATCGGTACTCGGTATCGGCAAGTACAAAAAAAATAAAAGTATCGGTATCGGGCGAGTACTGGAAAAAGTGGTATCGGTGCATCCCTAATAAAAATATTAAGGTTTCCACAAAAAAATTAAGCAGCACAACTGTTTTCAACATTGATAATAATAAGAAACACAATAGTATTATTTTTTACTGTATTTTTCATTAAATAAATGGAACCTTGAACATAAAAGACTTCTTGTAGTCCAACCCCGATCACAAGTTTTGGAGCACAGCCTTTGTGTGTGCATGTGTATACCTTAGCGGAGCCGTTGGCATAGATGGGGATCATATTTTCGGCCCCCTGTTTGACTTTGAGTTCGATGTTTAACTGCCTTTCCAGGGCAGCGATTCTCTCCTTGTGCGCCGAAGACCTGCTCTCTGCTCCCGGAGACTGAGGAGCATCATCTAGGCAAAAGAAGTAAAAAAGCCAAGGTATTTAAGAACGTGAAAATCAGGGTTTTTGATATGAAAACATGAATTAATAATATTTCAGGTATCTATAATTTATGTCTTTAAACATATGTGTTTTTGTTGGATTTAAATATTTATGAGTATTCGAATTATGTATGTGCATCCACTCGAAATCAAAACATGAGTTATTTTTCTTTCATGATATCACTGTCATCATCACTCATACACAGCAGTCAGCATCCACTCACCACGTGAATCATCCGTCCCTTTGACGACGATATGAGCGTCCAGCTCTTGTAGCTCAGCGTGGAGCGAGTCCAGACGTCGATTAGAGCTCCTCAACTGACTCTCCACCTGCTGAGCATTTCGTTTATCGGTAGTGGCTCTGCGGAGATTCTCTGCTCCCACTTTGATCTTCAGCTCCTTCCGGATTTCCCTACGGATTCGCTCTCGCTGTTCATCCAGCCGCTGCTGAACACTTGAGTCAGAGAAATCGGAGCTGTGGTCCAAGCCTAGCTGCTCTAGTACTGACAACCCACCGGGATCACTCTGCAAAACAGAAAGATGAAGTTTAAAGATGAAGCACTCCCAGTCTCAAAGTCAAATTCAGCTTCAGATATCCTGAGATCTTAGTAATTCACTAAATGCACTCCATTGAGATCACTTCATTATCATCTTAGGTCTGACATAGCCAGACTTTTGAATGCTGGCATAAAGTCTCATCCACATTGTGGCTTATCTGGCCAAGATGTGCCCACAGGAAAAGACCATGTGACCAGCGAGTACAGTGTTCTTGCTTTTAGATGCTGTTGGGTAAATCTGAAATCTATGAGATCTGAAAAATAAACAACCAAAACAAAGGTGCAGCAATTTCAGCTACATAACTTGGAAACAAATTTGTGTTCTAGGATATACTGTTTACCTATTAGCCTATTTCTTTAAACAATGTCCCTTTAAACAACTTTATTTCAGGGTGGATTGATATAAACCTTGACTATAAAACTTGACTCCTGGAAATTGTGTAGAGGTCAGATTGGAAAAACTTTTGCAATATACACCAGCCATATTCGCTGTAACATAACATGAAAAATTGTGAGAACATCCCGAAATATCTCTCAGAAACTGTGGAGAATACACATCGGATCTATATAAAAAAAAAAAGTACCCACAAACAAACTAAAAAGTGCCTATCATCACTCCACTTGGAAGTTACTCACATTAGATTTACACAGCTCTGAAACCAACTAACTACAAATTAACGGTGGATTCCAGATATTTGGGGTCATTTTCCCTATTGTTTTCCATCCTGCTAGTCATGACTTCCACGTTGGGATACTATTCACTGCTCCAAAGATAACCCTGCCTGCCATAAACAAATTGCCCAAAAATCTTTGCAAGATATCAGCTATTATTGGTTTAACAAATAACAAAAAAGTAAATATGCTTCAATTTACCAAATTTAGAGAGATAATATAAACTCTCAGACAAAAGGGCTTTTTAAAAGCAACCGCCATTGATTTCACATGAATGCAAACAGTCTGAAGAAGTTCACTTTGACAGTAAAAAAAAAGAAAGAAAGAAAATCAATGCTGGGATGAGAGATATTAAAAAAAGCAAATACATCAGATGCAGCAGGACCAGAATGGATATTTTACAAAGAACTGACAGTTAAAATCCTATGTAAAAATACACAACCGCTTGCCAAATCTTCAAAAGAACACTGGAGATTTAGTTACACACTAAAACCACTTCATAAAACCTCAAACAAATGTTTTACAGGTTACACGCATTTGCACACTAGTTACACCCACTAAACAATCAAGAACAGTCAGCCAACACATTTTTTCCACAATTACGCAATTTTTAATATTGCTTTACTATTTACCAGTCATAATTTGTGAAACTGAACACTACGGTGACAATAATCTCCTACTGATTTGCTGTAGCAACTCTGTCCCGTACTCAACCTAAGGGAAACACATCCAATTGGCAAAAAAGCCCCTTTTCATCTATTGAAATTATTTTGAAAACCAACAGTCCTGTCAATCATAAAATGTCACCTGCATTTCCAGATATTCCCAGTGATCCCATTCACCAGACCAACACATTCTCCTCTCTCCGGCAATGAGACCAATATCCAGTAGCATAGAAACAGAGTGACAGAGGGAGACGGAGGAAAAGAGAGAGAAAGAGATGAGGGAAGGGAAAGCTGTGGTCGAGGGTCGCCCTCCCTGTGCAGGATATCCGGTTAAACCTCTGCACGCTCTCTTCCTGTTTTCTGCGACGCTTGGCTTTACTAGATGACACCAGTTTGGGGAATAAGGCTATTGTTTCCATGTACATGCATCTTTTCACTGTCAAGTAATAACACCCATGTTTCAATAGCACTTACTGTATCTTACGATGTGCAAGTGGTGTTAATTTATCAGTTTATAAAAACTGTTGAAGTACTAATATGCCTTCATTCAGTGTAACAGAAGACCTCTAAGAAACTAAGGCAGGAAGGACCTTCATAAACAATTCAGAGGAACATGGAGAAAAGCATTAGTACATGTGTGAGAGGGAGATAGCGATATACCAAGATAAACTCAGTAGTGGGGGTGGGCAGAATAAGCAAACGTAGACGACAGTTCAAAAGTTTGTGGTCGGGAAGATTTTTTATGTTTTTGAAAGAAGTCTCTCATTCTCACCAAGACCGCATTTATTTGATCCAAAATACAGTAATACTGTGAATTATTATTACAATTTAAAATAACTGCTCTTTTTAAATGTATAGGCTATTAGTGAAATTTGAATTTTCAGCATCATTACTCCAGTTTTCAGTGTCACATGATCCTTCATAAATCATTCTAATGCGCTGATTTAGCTAGTGCTCAAAAAAACATTTCTTGATATTATCAGAGAACTTCTGAATGGTATAGGCCTATATCATTTAACATTACATATTGTGATTAGATATATGGGTGGGCAATCTGAGGGCATCTTGAAGACGTCCACAATCTAATTTTACAAACAAATCATAGAAACTGTGACCTTTTACATACTATAAATGTGTCATATTATGTTAGTATGTAAATATATCCACACAGCTTTCAGTTGGCAGGAAGTTATTAACATGTTAGAGCAAAAAAGAAACATGGATGAATGGGAAAGTGAAGAGTGGGATATGTTGGACATTAAAAGGAGTTATTAAAGGGGTCATATGATGCGATTTCAAGTTTTCCTTTCTCTTTGGAGTGTTACAAGCTGATTGTGCATAGATAAGATCCCTGAAGTTGCAAAGACTAAAGTCTCAAAACCAAAGAGATATTGTTTATCAAAGTTAAGACTCTGCCACGCCCCCCTAAAACGGCTCATTCTAACACGCCCCCACATATCTACCTCACTATATGGAAATATTTGCATAATGCCGTCCAAATGTGCACGCAAAGAAAGAAGGCATGGTTTCAGTAACCGCAGTTAGTGTTGAAGCAGCCATGTCAGGGAGACGCTGTGTGTTTCAGTGCGAAAGCAAAAGCACTTTATTTGGATCACTTACAACAGAACAGCAATGCATTTTATGGACGACCGTTTCGTGAACCTAGGAGAGGAGGTAATTCTGACTTTGCTATGACAATCTGGCGCTTCTGAATCAGCTACTGTTTTGTTATTAGTTTAAGTATTTGCTATTGACTGTTCAAATGCGGAGTTTTGCGCATCGTGTGTGCGCGAGCGAGCGAGAGAGAGAGAGAGAGAGAAAGAGAGACAGGGTCACATCACAGTGGAGTCAGCTGTCTTAACCGTGGCTTGTGTACTGCAAACACATACCAGCTTCATCACTGTGTCTGTCACGCGACTCTGTTCCCCTTTCGGGCTCTGTCTTTACATTTATTTTGAAAGATGAAGCTCGCGATTATGGTAAGGGGCGTTACATTTCCGACGAGTGCTTGCGGTGTTCGGCCAATCACAATGCACTGGGTCAGCTGGCCAATCAGAGCAGACTGCACTTGTCGGAAGGAGGGGCTTTGTAGAAAACGAAGCGTTTGAGAGAGGCGGGGCATAGAGGACCTACAATAATGTACAGTATTTGAAAAATAATGTGTTTTTTTAACATTAAAGCATGTCAACATATTCTGTTACACCAAATACACAAAATAATGATCTTTAAAAAAGCATCATATGACCCCTTTAAAAGTGTAATAAAGCCATGAAAGTGAATCGAATCCGGTAATGACTGACAGGCGGCTTTCTGTGCGCGCGCTCCAAGATGGAGAGGAACATAGACACGTGAAGTATATTTTAGGCATAAATAATCAGATGCGCACAAAAAATATCAAAATGTTCTCACCTGCTTGGTGTGTATTTACGTAAACACAGTCAGTTTTGTCTTAAGTGAATGTAATCAGTTCGTAAACAGAAAATAGGACGTGTGTCAGTATATTAGATCCAGCCTAATAAACCTCCTGCTGTCTGTATCATTTAATGTTAATCAAACAACAAAATAAAAAGAGAAAATCACTCACTGCTCATAACTGAATAACTTTTGTAGCTTTAATAAAAAAAAATGTAGTGTTGCATTTTACATTTGATTACTTTATTTCAGTTTCTGCAGTATTTCTTACCTGAAAAATGCTACTGTTAAATAGACTTACCTGCAACATAAAGCCCTTTGTTCTGTTGTATTTATTTGTTCTATTGCTTGTCATTTGTTTCTGTTGTTCTGACTTGTATTCAATAAGCTTAAAGGTGCTGTATGTAAGTTTTTGACTCTACTAAAGCACAAAAATACCATAATATGTTTGCAGATATTTAAGAAACATGCTAAGTTAACATATTTGTTTATCTGAAAAACAATACTACAGTCAGTTATTCTCCTTTGAAAATGTGCGTTCCGTGACGGAATGTCGATCTTTGTTTTGGTTTGTGAAACCCGCCCACTGCCAGTTTAGCCAATTGTATTTCGGCACACCGGGTTGCCAGTTGGCGGGAAACACAGCGAATTTCATTTCAGTCATGGAAGCTGGCAAACGAAAGGGGTCAGAGAGGGAAATAGAACTTTCTGCCCATCCTAAAAAGCCTTGACATCCATCCAAAAAACATTATGATCAACAACAATATAATAAAAGCAGAATAAATATTGGAGATGCGTTTGAGAGATGGTTGTTGGTGTCGTCAATCTGGCAACCTGCGTGTGCATCAAGTCTGAGGAGGAGGGACTGGGTGAAAAAAACCCTCTCCAATATTTTGAATTTGGACTGCAATACCTAGTTCAACCACTCGGTGTCATTCCTACATACAGCACCTTTAAGGACTTTTAACTTATATTAATTAGGCTTAGTTTCTATTGTTCAGTAACTTGCAAAATAGTAAAAGTAATAGTAAAAACCAACATGAAAATGAATCATTATAAGCTTGTGGATCATGATCATGCCTGAAAAAAATCATAATATGATATTTTTGCCATATGGGCCACCCCATATGTCCAAAAAAAAAAACACACTCAAAAAGGGTCTAAAGTGTAGTAGCTATATTGCTATAGTATAGCTGGGCATAATATATTGTTTATCTGA